CTCTGAGTGTCTGAGTGGCCTTTTGGGGGTGGGGGATGTATATATATTTATATATTTAAATGGTGTATAAAGGTGATCTCATTCATTTCTCTTTCATGGAAAAAAAAGTGTTTTTTCGGCTGCTTTTGTTGCATTTATAAATATCTACACACAGATCTGTCTTCTGTATTTTGGAGAGCTTTGGCAGTCTTGGGGAGACCTGGAATGTAATTTCCCAGATGGCGATGGAAACCTGAGTTCTCATTTTATCAGCTCTGCCCAATTACAAGGAGAAAAGGACATTGGCTGAAGGAGCTGCATCTCAAGTTTCAAACCCAATCTCTGAACTCGTGGTTGGATTCCAAAGGCTAGGTTTTCCAAAGCCTGTCTGAAAAAAAACATGCGAAGGCCAGATATTTTTAATGGAAAATAAAAAGGAAAGAAAAGAAAGGAAAACCTTCTCTGGACATCTGTCTTAGAACATATGAGCAGTTGAGCATCCACACATTTATTTACATATTTATTTGCTGTGCTACTCAATTTGAAATTACTTCTGAGATTTTTCAGTTCCCTCTCCAAAGTTACTGTGGCTATGCAGGAGCCCAGCTATAAACTATAACTTGCTAATACTAAAGTGATGATGTTAGCCATAGGACACATTCAACAGAAGTGATAAAAAAAAAAATAAAAAAAAAATCCCAAGACTCTTTCAGATTTTATTTTAGGATCAAAATACCTCACTGGAAAAATATTTAAAACTTTTCAAGCTTGCCAAATGTGCATGCACACACACTTCCATAGAAGAGAATTACTGTTTTGGAATGTAACAAATTCTAGTTACTCATCCTCTATACTCTTTTTTTTCAGGCCAGTTAATCACTTGGAAAACTGGGCCCAATCCTGGTTATATTTAGGTACAAGTTACTCATGGGAAACTACTAGGATGACATATGAGAATGAAATGACACTTGAGCTCAGTTGTTTGCAGAATCACTCGAAATCTGTAAAAATGAATGTCTTGTCTTACATTTCAACAATGGAGGCAAGAGGCAAATCCCTGTGTTGCACTATGAGAAAAATGGCTGCTTGTACAAGCAGAAATAGCTCTTGTATAGAAATTAGCTCAAACAATGGATTGCTCTTAGGTGGCTGCAGAAATGGTATTCACAAGTGAATATTGATCTGTAGCAGCTGGAGCATGAGTAATGGAGAACGGAAGGTACAATCTTGCATCAGTGTTATAGCCTGGCAAGCTTACAAGCAGCATTATTTTTATACTGTTTTTTTCTTTTTTCAGTATAAAAAAAAGCCATACCATGATATTTTCTTAGTCAAATTTAATGCAAGCAAAAAATATGCATTCTTCTCAAGGTCAGATTGACATGGACCATGGGTTGGCGCTTTTTTTTTTTAAGCCTTCCTCAGTAGCACACAGCTCAGTCCCATTCTTAGGATCTTCTGAGCCTACTTTAACTTGACTAATTTCCTGCCACAGTAATGGTAAAGCATTTATAATACCTGTGTCTTGCTCTTTACTGGTGGCATGTTGTAGAGGGAGATTTAATAGGATACTTTGTGGCTGTGATGTGCATGATTGTCAGAATAGATGTTTTTGTGGACCTGTTTGGAAAGTTGTCTACAAATACAAAAGACTTGAAGGCCTGGGGCGGTGCCCTCATCTATATTCCTATATAGCTATGTATAGGTTTGATAAGAAATACAGCCTTCTCTTAGAAAAATAGCTGAACTGGTTTCTTATCATTTTACTATGTGCAAGCCAAATTCCTGACACCCTGCATTCTGCCTTATCGCAGATAGCAGAGAGCTGAAGATGCAGAGAGCATTTTCTATGGAGGATGCTTTTGATTCACTTCATCTTTCTTATTTTCATCACAGCGTTTTGCATGTGATGTTCCTCTTTTTGCTCCTCATTGCCAGTGCTTTCTCGTGGGGGTTCTTGAATTAGTTAATGAAAATAATATAAGGTAAATCCAGGAAACTTTTTACAGTTAAATGTGCTTACACAAGAAATGTCAGAACTGAGCTGAAATAAATTATGAGGTGTGATACCTGTGAGCTGAAGAGATGGGTAGAGAGCAGGCCCCTTTCTCTGTAAGCGGAGATTTGAAACCTTTTGGCATAAACTGTTACCTTCCATCTATCATGAGCAAAATGTTCCATGATTTGGTATTTCATGGATTTATTGTCAGGAAACTATTGTCTGCCTGGAACGGCTCACTGCATAACCCAGTCTTGAATTGTTTTTAATAGGAACTTGCGTCTAGAATGTGTTAAGATCATTTGCTGAGCTGGTTTCCCTGAAGAAACACAAAAGCAAATATTTATCTCTCTAAAATGAGCAGTGTATTCCCCTGCCACCACTCTTTTTAGCAGAGATAGTTCTGAGAGTGAATGAGTGACTGTGGCAGGGCCCTTAGGGTGCCTGCCAATTTAAGAGGTCAGGCAGCCTGCGGAGCTGCCAGCAGGTGTGCACCAGAGCTAATGGGGAGCCAGATAACCCGGGAAGCCAGCAGGTGAGGCTAGACTTGGTAGAGGGAGTCATCTGACTCAGGAGGAAGGCTGGGCTTAGAGCAGGTATAACCCCAGGCATGGAGAGAAACCCAGTAGTAACATCTGGGAGTCTGCTGAGTGAACATCCCCTCAGCAGGGTGGCTGCAGCTTCAGAAGGTCAGCATGGAGGGCAACACCTAAAGCAGCCTGGAGATTTGGGTAGGAGCTATGGGGCTGGAGGAGGTTCCTAGGGACCCAGGCTCGGGTCCGGGTGAGCTCAGAGCAAGGGGCTCAGTGCAGAAGACCTATTGTGAGTCCAGAGCGAGAGGCATAAGATGTATTGTGAAGCCTGGGGGAGTCCAGATTGAGGGGCTCAGTGTAGAAGACTGATGTGGGATCTAGGTGAAGCCCAGGGAGAGGGGATCAGTGTACAAGACCTGTTTTGGGGCTCAGGTCAGCCCAGAAACAGGGGCAGAGAGCCTAGGAGACCTGCTGAGGAGCTTGAGGGGGTGGACCTGTGAGTGAGGGTGGGCTGGTAGGTTGGAGAACTGACCCCAGGAGGATCTCGCTGGCCTGGAGGGGCCTGGAGTCCTCAACTGACCCGAGGTGGGGCCAGGGCCTGGGTTTGGCCAAAGGTCCAGGTGGGGCCACTGCCAGAGAAGAAGGGGTCAGAGAAACAGGCCCAGAATGAGAGTGGCTGGAACAGGGCCATCAGATGTAAAGGAAGGTCTGAGACAGTGCTGAGACGAGGGGGCCCAGAGGTAGGAGAGCCAGGGCTGAAGGTGGTTTGGAAGGAAGAGAGAGCTGACCCCAGTTGGAAGCTCCATGAGAGCCGACAAGACCAGATTCTGAGAAAGAGAAATCTGGGGCCAAGGGAGCCCCAAGGGGTGGCATCAGTAAGGGGCCAAGGAACTTGTAGCCAGGGTTGTTGGACAGGGACAGCATAGCTCTGGGGGTGGAGGCCAGGGTCTAAGCTGGCCAGGGTTATAACCGAAGACTGCACCTTACTTGAGTTTGGGATCATGGTGATGGGACTACCCGTGGCGAAGCAGCCCCTAGAAAGTCCCACCAGTGCCAAACCCAAGGGAAGGGCAAATCTGGGACACCCTAAAATCCCAGCCCCCATTGCCTTGCAGGTTGAGGTTACCTCTTGGCAGGAAAAGGCTAGGAGAGCATACCCTGAAATAAAAGCAGGGGCAGGACCAGATGATCCAGAAGTGCAGGGTTTAGATTTACAAGGGTTTAGATTTACGAGGCCAGTCCTGGCATCACTGAAATCCATAGCAAAACTTCCATTGACTTCCCTAGGGCCAGCATTTGGTCCACGGGATGGGCTGAGCAGAACGAGCAACAGTGTACTGGCCCACATAATAGGGACTGAGAGAGAGAGAAGGCAAATAAGTGAATATAGTCAGAATAGGAAGTGAAGGCATAGGGATGTAGCAGGCAGGGGAAGGGAGGGCTTTTATGCAAAGGTCTGTAGTAAGGAAGGAAACAGCTGACATAGACAGATGGGTTAGGTCGGGGTGGGGCGGGAAATAATACTGGGCAGTGAAACGGATGACAGAAGGCCTCGGGAAGGAAAACTCAAAAGAGAAAAATCCTCAGATACAAAGGAATCACTCTGGGAAGTTTATCTTTGCAAATGGAGAATTGTTGCCCAAAAAACCATAGTACAAAAATATATGCAAATTATATCAGCATTATCATATTAGTTGAAATGTGGCAACGCAGGAGAAATCATTACTGGCTAACAGGGGCGTAGATTGTTCAGAGGAGAGCTTCCAAGGGCTGTGGATGGAGAGGGAGGAGTGGCATTGTATGCAGAGAGGTAAGGAAGAGTTATAGAGTCTAAAGTGAAATACTGGTGAGACATACTTGGTATAGCCTAATTCATACAATGAAGTGAAGGAACACAGAATTAAAAATGCTGCTGGAAAGAACATATGTTGGAAAAGGAAAGATCAACTTCTCCAGGTGTAAACTGAGGCATACTAAGTAGAGGAAATAAATCTGCCAGTAAGCTTGTAAACATGATAGAAAGATGCCTTGTTCATATAATACAAACAGAATAAGCAACAGTGCTTAGCTGAGCTAAGAGCAGAAAAGCAGAGTCCTACAAATCTTCCATGTGCTGAGCTCCCATTTACTTCAGGAAGATTTTGGTATAAAGAGATCACAAGCTTGGTCCCAAGAGCTTATCATATTTACAAGAGGTGCAGTGGTGAATTATTCTAGGAAGTAAAAAATGACAGCATTTAGAGGAAAAATCTGGACAGAGTTCTGGCTGTATGAATTTGGAATAAACACTTGAAGTAGATGAGATGAGACCGTGAAAATTGAAAGTGTTCAGGGATCCATATGCCAATGTTTCCCCAAGGTTTTGTGTGTGCTGACAGTAGTAAATACAGTAGGAGTAACATAGGAATGGAGAAAACTATTCAATCTTAATCTGATGGGGTTTATTTCCAAGCAGTGTAACATAGGATATTCTTCTGGCTTTTCCTCAGGCGAGATCCCAAGCTCAGCTACGACATCAAATGGCTGAAGAGAGCAAAGGAGAATACTCATCCATTCTTCAGAAGTTTAACCATGAGCAACATGAACATTATTACACACACATACCAAACATCTTCCAGGTGAGATCTTTGATACTAGGGCTCTTGCGAGGGGAGAAGAGCCCTATCTCTTGTTACCTACAAGGAAGGGCAACCAGTAGGTTTAATTCTATGACGCCAGCTCATTGCTCTCCAGCAGTCTCAGCACTGCATTATCAAAGAGCAGCCTTGACGCATCAAACCATGAAGTAGTTACTCTCTTTTAGTGACAGTTTCTATTCCTGGGATTTCATAGAGAAGTTGCGCTGCTTCAGTTGTTATTCTATTGCAGTTGCACTGGGAGTAGGAGGAAGGGAGAAGGGGAGATTGTAATTTGTTCAAAATGTTTACCAGCTGCTCAGAAGTTATTCATGTTTGTGCAGCAAACAGGCATTTTCCCATTCAAACATTTAAACTTCTTAGAAGATCTTCCCTTTAGTTTCATGGTACTTTAAGGTGGTGGTGGTGGTGGTAGTAGTAGTAATAATAATAATAAAAAAAACATCCCCAGGCTATGTATAAACTTCATACAGTGCCTTACAGAATTAATCTTTTATCGTTGGCATTGCATTTGGTTTTGGTAAGGAAACCTTTGCCTTCTCCAGTGGTTTATTTCAAGTGTTAAAATGGCATTTACTTTTTAAAAGAATGATATCAATGTGTTCTTTCCTTTAATTGTTTTATTTTTCTGTTGCTCTTGGTTGGGTCAAGGTTTAACAGGAAAATGGTGTGGATTCTTCCTGGTAGCCAGTGTCATATCAGGTTATATGATGCCACACAAAACATGCATCCTTGATTCATGTCCTCTGGATATACTTTCTGCATCCTTTTGTAATCCATCATAACAGGAATATGCAACCTCCACTTTTCCTGTGTTCTAAACCAGAAGTCCTTGGATTTGATACTTGGAGATCCTTGGCACCACATATAGAGTAGGTTTAAAATACCTGGTTTAAACAACATAATGTGATGTGTAGGAGCAATCTGGACAACTAGTCTCATTTCTCCAAAGTTTGAGGTTTTTAACTTTTGTTTACAATCTTTGTGAAATTCAAGTGAAAATTTTTTCAAAATGTTTCACAAAGAATGAGAGAGAGAATTTATCTTTATAGGAATTTCGTTCTGGACCTGGAAAACTTCCTTAGCAACATTTTTATCAGGATCCATATAATTCCACTTCTTCAGTTTTGACAAATGAGCATTTTCCAGCAAGAAATGTTCATTGCAAAATTACCAACTACTGCTTGTAACAAAGAGACTACTCTTTGACCGGCCCTTCAATCTTCGTTTTCCTGGATTTTAAGTCATATTTAAATGACTTTATTTAAAAGGAGTTGCTGTATGGCAGGAAGAAATTGGTTGAAACAGTGGTGTAACTCAATGTTTGATCACAATGATATGTAATGTTTTAGAAAATACAAGACATGGAGGAGAGGAGGATAGTGAGACTAGGCGAATCCATGAAGACCTTCTCCGAAATCGACCGCCAGGTGATCCCCATCATTGGGAAGTGTCTGGATGGAATAACAAAGGCGGCTGAATCGATTGATCAGCAAAATGTAAGTGTTGCATTGTTGAACCTTGTTTTCTGCATTGACATTTGTGGGTCACCTTTAAGCCCCAGGCCTAGATCTCTTGTGCTGTGTTCTGGATGATCACAGAACAAAAGCGACGGTTCTTCCCCCAAATGACTTACAATCTGCTGCTCTGTGAAGAAACAATGAACACAAAACTGAAATCCAATGAGAGCACAGAAAAGGATCCTTTGTCATAGGTTCATTAAGGATAGGTCTATTCCTAAGGCCCGTTTTAAAATATAAATGCTAGATGCTTTGTCTTGTTGACGCAAAAATTCTGTTCCTCTTGTAGATGTGTTTGTTTAGTAAGATTTTGCATACTGTCATTTGCCTTTTAAAGAATAAGTTTTCTTTGTCAAATGTACTCCTTTAACGTTCATTTTAGGGATTTGGTTTGGTGCATCCTTTTGACAGGATCCTATCTTTTAAAGACTTGATTATTTGTAAATAGACTTCTGCAAACCACATTTTTAGATGATAAGCCAGACCAGTCCTTCTGTGATAAAGAGTTTACTCTACTCTAGCTTTCCACTGGAACCAAAAATCAAATGGAACATTACAGAAATGTGTTTGTTTTAGTTATTCTGTTAATTATGGAAGCACTAAACATGTTGTGTGTGCAGATTTGTATGTCTGTCCAGCTTTCGTCAATGTATATATTCACCTTTGACCCATTAGTCTGGATCCTTCAATTTGCAGATGAGCACTGGGGGATTTTAATTTCTGAACATCACTCTGATAAGGAGTTTGGTTGTGCTTCCTGTTGCACAGGCAGCACAAGAGCAGATCTGTTTTCTTTCTAGTTGAGAATGCAGTGCTCCCACACTCCGTTGGTAAATGAAGTCTCCATCTGCTTTTCAGCTTTTTTTTCATGGATCACATCAGTGCTTCAAATACAAACAGTGTGTGTATTGCTCACTGTTTGAATTTCCCCATATGTCTTGTTCACTGGACTCTTCTAAGCTTTTCATTGCTCAGAGCCTGGATATTGCAGTTAATTGGTTGCAGAGGCCAAAGGGTGATGTTTCAGAATATAACTTTCTGCTCAGCACTCACCAGCTCCCACTGACAGTTTCTTAGGAGATGATGGAAACAGAAAGAAAAAGTGATGGTTGTTGTTTCTTCTTTGGAGGTATTTTAGGTACTGGTGGGGACATCATCAGTACAATGTACTTTTGTTATGGTGCTAACCTGGAAGATATGTATGCACTGTGGAGAGCCAGCCCAGGCTTACGCACTGCTCAAACCCTTAGATGAAGCCATAGATAGAATATAAAGGAGGAATAGGCTAGCCCTGTGCAGACAGCTAAAGTTAACCCTCAAATTGATGTTACATACATGTCATTTTGAGGATATATCATATTTTGAGTGCATGCAGGTGTTTTAATGTTAAATGGGTAACTGAGCTTTCTGTTGCAGAAGACTCATGAAACACACTCACACTCACGTTTCAAGCGTTGAAAATGGCAGTTGCTAGAAATGCCACTGGAGTGAGAATGTGTTTATATTTAACAAACCTTGCTTAATGTTCCACACCTCATCACAATGGAACAATCACAAAATATTTAACAAACTTTCTATGCACTTAAAAGGCTCCCCTTGCTTCTTAAATGGGTTCCTTGCACAAAAGGAGGATACAGACATTATGGGTATTTTTCTGCTACAAGATCCCTTCCAAGGATCAGCCTGAAACCTTCCACCCTAGAACTTCAGTTAACTTGGGAGAAACAAAAATGTTTTTAGCCTTTAATAGTCTTCTTTTTCCCTCAAAATTCATTTGAAATTTGTGAAGTTACATAGTCATTTGAAAAATAGGGCAGAGTAAAGAGAAATGCATGAAAAAGCATCTTTTTCTTTTGTTACTACAAAGCTTATAAGTACAAGGAGCTTCTGAAATTAGAAAAATGCTCCCAGCTCTATCTTGATCTGGTCTGTATTGTTTAAAGCGAGGAAACTATAAAAGCAAATTATCACAAGGAGGTGGGAGAAAGTGGGGAATATGTCTCGCAAAGGAATAATAAAGCTGTAAAATAAGGTATTGGGGAAGGTAGTTGGAACTGAAAGTCTGTCTGTGTCCGAAGCGTCACGTAGCTATATGTTTGTGGAAGGAAGGAATAATGTTGGGTGGGATGCGGCAGAGCAGGAAGGTATGGTTAAAATGCAGCAAACAAGGGCAGGGCCCTTGGATGCAGTGGGCTTTTCCTGTTGAAAGGTCATATGTCCTGCTGCAGATATGCAGTCTAAATCTTTTGCTTTGCTCATGCTCATGCAGCCAGATTATCTGGTTAACTGTATTGCCTCTGGGGCCCTGTACAGACGTAACATGCTTCGACAACAGTAGCTGGCCCCTGTACTGCCTGGCCCCTGTGTCTGCAGGTTGTGTGTTCTGACGCTTTCTTGCAAAACCTTCAGCATCAGCAATCTTAGTAGCTTACTATTAGATATGTCTTTCTCTGAGCACAAAGAAACTAGTGTGCAACGGCAGCCTGAATAGCCTACCTAGCTTCAGGCTGGATTTAGCTTTGGGAATGAGCCAGCACAGGTCAGATTTAAACAAAGCGGAGTGCATTGAAAAGTGCTGATAATGCAGATGGCATGTGGTTAAATGAATACAAACAAGACCCAAACCTGCCCTGGCAGGGAGAAGAAACGGTCTAGCTTTGTGCAAGACACTGGGCTTTCCCATAGGAAACCAGACTGGGAAAAGCCCTTTGGTTTTTGAGCCTTTAGGTTGCACTCAAGTTACACTTCCAAGTTTTCCCCCAGCCTTGGAGCCTAGAAATTTTTGTTTAAATGACTGCAGACAGTCTCCTATAATAATGTGACTTCAGGATCTGGCTCTTCATGCAAAATAACCAACAGTATGATGCTGACAGAAGATTACAGCAAAAGTAGATGACACTGCAGCTACCTGCTGTAAAAAATATCACACAGTAAATTTCAGATGGAAGACTGGAAGGACTTCGAAGATGTATAAATCCTTCTCCCTTGATACTAGGATATTAAAGATTGGTAAAGCTATTACTGGAACTATTTTAGCAGTATTAAACAATGCTTTGCATCATCTTCAGTGAACTTCATATGTGGATCTCCAAGTCCTTTTATCAAATACAGGTTTTTAACAGAAATTCAGGTTTTTAACTGAAATCTACTACATGCAGCATTGCTCAGTACACTCAGTATTGAACTTTTTCCCACAGCATCCAAGAAACACTAAATGTATAGTGCTAAAATTGTACTGTACCAATAATAAGAAAGCATTAGAATTGTGTTATATTTCACTAACTTACTGAAAACACAATTGTGTGAATTCCTTACGAAGTGCCACAGTTGTGTTTGCATGGTGTGTAGTAATACTTAGTGCTTGCATTATACCTTTCCTCACTGGATGTCTGAATATATATTAAATGCCTTATACAAGCCACAGAGGGAGTCATATGAGTGCTAGGATTAGAATTCAGGAACTCCTGCCTTCTAGTTCTTTGTACGCTCCATTAGAGTCTTGTCTGTTCTTCTGGTCTAGGTATACCCAAGTAGAATCAGTACTAGTTATTTATTCAATTTATATGCCTCCCTTCCTAACAAAGGCACAGGGAGGCTTACAGTAGAAAACAGAATAACTTAAAAAAAAATAGAAGAGTGACAAGAGGACCACAACAGTTTAAAGGGGAACTAGAATATCAAGATAAAACGGAGAACCCCTAAACAGCATCTCATCTTAGTTTTGTTTGGTGAGTGCTTGCCCAGATAGGAAGGTCTTGCTTACAATGTTTCCGAAAGATGTCCAGGCTCAAGCTTGGACTTGTCTTTCCTGCTAAGGTGGTACTTCATGCATCAGTATGTTATTCATGTCTTCCTTTCCATCTACAAACTGATGACTGGGAAGCATTACATATAGTCATCCTGGGTTAGAATAGCCAAAATGGGACCATTAAAAAATATGTTGCTATCAACATTTGCGTTAAGGAAACCTCTGCTGTGGAGAGGCCAAGCCATTTATTACCTGCATTCTGGCAGGTGTGATAGACATGCTGCTGTACGGTAAAATAAAAATGCATGAGTTCTCATCTTTGACTAATGGATTTCTAGAGACTGGCAGGTTCAAAAGCTGAAAGAGTTCCAAGCAGAACTTGAATGTCCTTGCCTGTTGCCCTCTTCTTTAGGTCCGAAAGAGAGCTGAGGACTTCTTGCAAGTCCTCTGAAAAAAACACCTTTGTTTCATTTCGTTATATGATGTTAAAAACTGACAGGGTATATTGGATAGATTTAATATTTTATTACACTTAAGCTGCAAAGAAAGCAAGAAGCTTGTCTGTTGCCCAGATGCAACCCTGCCAATTTTTCATTCTTAGTTATGCCACTTGAAAAAAGTAGTATACTTGCTCAAGTTTGAATTCTGTCTTTGCTAAAGCATTCCCATCAAAAGATCAATGGGAGCAGCACACATTTATCTGAGAATAGAATCTGAGCCTGTATTTCTAGAATTCTTACAAAGCTTGCTGCTTTTCCACTCTTTTAAAAAAAAAAAATATTTCTAACAAAGCAGAGGACATGTTTGCAAGGGTAAGCCACAGTGACTGTTAAGTGAACCTGGATGGAATTTGCCTCTGCAAGCTCTGGCAGCAGATACAATTAATTTGTTATGGACTTCTGAGTTCCTGTTATGACATTATCTTTTTCTGATATATAAAGAGAAATAGTTATTTTTAGCCCCAT